TAAACCAAAAAAAAGTAAAAAAACTCTGATGTCGAGTCAATTCCGACTCATGTTGTTGTTGTTGTTGTTGTTGTTGTTATTTGCGGTCGAGTCAGCCCCAACTCATAGCGACCCGTCCTTGGGTTTCCAAGGCAGTATCACTACGGAAGTAGGATTGCCCAACCTTCCTTCCGAGGAGTGGCTGGTGGGTTTGAACCGCCAGCCTTCTGGTTAGCAGTCAAGTGCCTTAGGCACTATGCTACCGGAGCTCCTAAAATAAAATTACTTTTAAATTAAAACAAGGATAAAAAAGAAAAGAATTAAATTAACTAAATAAATAACATAGAACAAATACAAAAATAAAATGAATGAAAGTAAATAAAACAAATCAATTAATTAAAACCAAATAAAATAAAACTGGGAGCTCTGGTGGCAAAAATTACACAAATTGAAATAATGAAATAAAAATTAAATTAGAAGTATTACATTATCTAATTAAAATGTATTAATATTAAATGTACCCAAAAAGCAAACTCACTGCCATTGAGTCGATTTTGACTCATAGCAGCCCCCTTTGGGTTTCCCAGGTGGTAAATCTTTACAGAAGTAGATTGCCTAGTCTTCCTTCCACAGAGTGGCTGGTGGGCTTGAACCTCCAACCTTCTGGTTAGCAGTCAAATGTCTTAGGCACCATGTCACCAGAGCTCCTTATTAAATGTGTACTTGAAATGTATGCCAGGCCCACAGTGCCTGGGCTTGAAGACATCTCTAGATAGCAGCCCAGGCCCAGATAGTGGTGACACCAAGAGGGTGTCAGCCTCTCCTGAGGCATCTGGGGAGGGCACTTCCGCCGAGTCCCTAGTGCTGGTTCCTATTGCTCATCTGAGGGCTCCAGTCACTCCTCATTAGAACTGAAGATACCTTGCTGTTGTTGTTGTTGCTATGTGCCGTCGAGTCGGCCCCGACTCATAGCGACCCCTCCTTGGGTTTCCAAGGCAGTATCACTACGGAAGTAGGATTGCCCAACCTTCCTTCCAAGGAGTGGCTGGTGGATTTGAACCGCCAGCCTTCTGGTTAGCAGTTACTATGTTGTTGTTGTTGTTGTTGCTATGTGCCGTCGAGTCGGCCCCGACTCATAGCGACCCCTCCTTGGGTTTCCAAGGCAGTATCACTACGGAAGTAGGATTGCCCAACCTTCCTTCCAAGGAGTGGCTGGTGGATTTGAACCGCCAGCCTTCTGGTTAGCAGTCAAGTGCTTTAGTCGAGTGGGACCTATCTCAGAAGATACCTTAGGCTATGGAAACAGAAGTATTCTAAGGATAAAGCAGTGTTTTTGCCTAGGTTGGAGACAATCTCTGCCAATATAGGCAGCTAGAGATGTTTTCTATGGGAACGAGAGGCAGAGTTCCACCCTGGTCCACCTGCTTCAGGGGGCACAACATCACTCTTCTACCTTCTTTGTCATGCCCTTGTCTGGAAACTTTTTCACTTGTCCATAACTGAACATTAAGGACCTCTGCTGGCTCAATGGTTAAGCACGTGGCTGTTAACTGAAAGGTGAGTGGTTCAAACCCACTAGCCACTCTACCAAAGGAAAGACCTGGTGATCTGCTCCCATGACGATTACAGCCAAGGAGACCCTGGTGAGCCTAGAAACATCTCACAATGTGGGATGAATTTGGAGAACATTACGTTGAATGAAGTAAGTCAATCACAAAGGATAACTATTATATGAGACCACTACTATTTTAAAAAAGAAAAAAAAAGTTTACATAGAAGGAAATAAAATGAATGGTTACCAGGGATAGAAGGGAGAGGGAGGGGCAATTACTGACTATATAGAAGACACGTGTTAACAATGGTGAAGGGAAGGCAATGCCCCATACTGTGGAAGTCAGCACAACGTGACCCAGGCAGAGGAGGACAGAGGGGGACACAAGCACAAAGGCAACTCCAGCAACCACTGTAACACAGACAACTCTGCAAACGGGTGTTACCACAGCCGACAGGTGTGGGAGGGTAGAGGGTGCACACCACCTGCAGATATAGGTTGGGTTTGGGATATTTCTACACCATAATGTAGGTGCTGCATGTATTGTAATGCAGACAATAGAGCACACAAGGGGCACAGTCATAGTAACTTGTTAGACACAGCCAAACCCCTCACGGGATGAAGTTCTCAGGAGCAAAGGTGAAGGACCATAGACCCGAAGGACATGTGCATCAATGTGCACAACCTAGGTCATAAAGACGATGTCCTACATCCTACTTTGGTGAGTAGTATCCAGGGCCTTAAAAGCTTGTGAGAATGCGTCTAAAATACATCTACTGGTGTCTTCCCATCCAGAGCAATGGAGAGTGACGAAAAACAACTACTCCAAAAGACTAATGGACCATATGCACCACAACCTACACAAGCTGATACCAGAAGAACTAAATGGTGCCCAGCTACCACTACTGACTGCTCTGACTGGGATCACAACAGAAGGTCCCAAACACAGTGGGAGAAAAATGTAGAAAAAAAAATCAAATTCACAAAAAACCACCACACTTACAGTCTAACGGAGCCTAGAGGAACCCATGTGACTATGGCTCTAAGACCATAGTCTGGAACTAAAACCATTCTTAGAAACCACTTTTTAGCCAAATACTAGGCAGGCCTATAAAATAAGCAATAACACGCTGGAGGAGCATTTCACTTAGAACAATCAGTTATCCCAGAGCAAAAGGACATTTACCCAAAAGCAAAGATGAGAAGGCAGGAATGCATCCACTCCTGTGGAGTCAGATCCGACTCATAGCAACCCCTCCCTGGGTTTCAGAGGCAGTATCACCACGGAAGTAGGTTGCCCAACCTTCCTTCCAAGGAGTGGCTGGAAAAGTTGGAAAATCCAGGTGGAAGGACATGACAGTGAACCCAGGGCAGGAACGGGGAGAGTGCTGACCCCTTGTGGGGAATGCAACCAATGTCATGGAACATTTTGCGTACAAACTTTTGAATGGGAAATTAATTTGCTCTGTAAACTTTCAACTGAAGCAGGTTCTAGACAAAAAAGTACAAGTCTGTTTGAAATGAAAAACCAAGAGTTTATTACAGCAAAAGAGCACTTTGCAAAATGGGGAAACAGAGTCAAGAAGTTCTCAGCAAAGTGTGCCATGGAGATGTTCATTTCCAAGATCTTATAAAGACAAGCAGAAGGGTATGTCTAAAATAGTCATGATTAGTTGACATTTATAGACTTGGAAGCTGACTGACCATAAGTCACAAGAGAGGTTAGATCCCCCTTGCATTTAGGTTGACCAAGATTATGGTAAAGTATAAAATATGATAAAGTAGTCAGAAAAAAACATTTTTTGAGGGAGAGTGAAGGGGGAATTTTCTGAGAACTAGCCAACTATTGTCACTTTCCCTGGCCCATGAGATCATCCAGACCCCTGTAGCCAAGTTTCTGAGGTGAGCACAGCTGAACCTGGCTCTGAGGAAAAGTCAAGGGAGTAACAATACAGTTAGAGCTTCATGATACTGGTGGACTCTGAAAACATGAAAGCCGAGTCTGTTGAACAAATAAAATGATCAAAGCAAAAATGCAAGTATTCTTAATCTTAAGGGAGAAAAAGGCTTTTGATCCAGGCAAGCTATAAGCATGTCACTACTTAACGGTAAGTACATCTAACTATAAGTTATTATAACTATAAGCTTAACCACAACTTGTTCTTTTTAACACCTATATGAGCAAGGTAAGTAAAATCACATTTTTCTATAGAACTGTTTATATTTAGGTCAAATGTGCAGTGGAAATTTTTAAAGTGACAGGCTGCAGTGTATGACAAAATAAATAAATAAACAAATAAACTCACAGTGACACCTCTTTGGACTTCTGAGGCTGTATCACTAACTATGGAAGTAGATTGCCTAGTCTTCCTTCCGAGAAGTGTCTGGTGGATTTGGACATCCAGCCTTCTGGTCGGCAGTCAAATTTAGGCACTATGGCCACCAGAGCTCCCACAGTATATGACAGAGAAGTACAAAATGGTGTCAGTTAAGCCCAGGAGGGATTTGGCCTCAGTTCAGCCAGAACTTTCTGTCACATCAAGATGCTTAATTTGCAACGCTCTTCCTCAAAAACAAGAAAAGATTTTTCTAAAAGAGGAAAAGAAAAGAAAATCTATGAGACTGTTCTACTTTGTTACATGGGGTCTTTGTTGTTATGTACGGTCGAGTCAGACCCGACTCATAGCAACCCCTCCTTGTGTTTCCAAGGCAGTATCACTACGGAAGTAGATTGCCCAATCTTCCGCCCGAGGAGTGGCAAGTGGATCCTTAAGACTCCACAATGCTGAAGAATTGAACAATCTGAAATTCACAAAACAGACTCCAACGCTTTAGAATACAAGCATGTGAAGAGCAATAAGAGAACGTTTATTAGTCTCCAGCTACAGGCGGACGCTTTTATTTATTTATTGGACGCTATATGCTATGTCCATTGGGTCTAGGAGCCTTTGGAAGCATATGAAATAATCCTTTTAGTCCCTGGGAACGTACTGAGTTTCATGGAGTACGACAGTTGCCAACTACACTTCCCAGAAATCACGTGCTGCCCTTTAAGAAGGAGCAAGGCCACATCCAGCCTTTCCCGATTGGGAGACCTGGGGACGGGAAAGACGCCCCTTGACTAACTGTGGAGATGTGGAAACTACATTACCCAGAGGACTCTACGCCGATCGGCAGCGGGCTGAGCCAATGAAGATCCAAGATAAGGCATTTCCGCGAGAGAGCATCACGTCGGGGAGGGACTTCTGGCGTCCTCCTGATGGCGGTCATTTCGCTTTCTTTCAGCTATGTTCCCCGAATCAGGGACTGCGGAGCGCTGGTTTGGGTCCGAGGTTGTTATTCCTAGCCCACAGAAGTGAGTCTGAGGGTCGACGGCCGCGCCTCCCGTGGCTGCCCGCTCCTGAGCCGGCATAGGGACTCCGCGCCCCCTGTCGCCTGCCGCTGGCAGCCCCTCTGTGCCCAGATTGCGATGGCGGCGGCCGCTCGGATGGACCTGCCTCAGGTAAATGCTGCCTACTGCAGGACCTCACTCATCCTTACCCCCACCGTGTGAGGGGCGCCTGCTTACGTCACTGCAGCTCGGGTGCCCGGGACCGTGGGGCGCTCGTGGGTGGGGCCCCTGTTTCTCGGTTCCGACTGCTAGCAACCCCGTGTGACAAAGTAGAACTGCCTCATAGGGTTTTGTAGTCTGTAATATTTACGGGAGCAGGTCGCCAGGTCTTTCTTCCGCAGAGCCGCTGGGTGAGTTGAACCACCAAACTTTCTGTGTGCAGCCGAGAGCGTCTCCGTTTGCGCCACCAAGAGGACCGGCATGTAAAGGCGACTTAGCCTGGGACTTGAGAAACCTAGGCTCTGCCTTGTGTTTGCAGGGACAGAATTTGAGGGCGAGTAGAGCCTGGAGCTCTGGTAGCATAGTGGCTAAGGCACTTGACTGCTAACCAGAAGGCTGGCAGTTCAAACCCACTACCACTCCTCTGAAGGAAGGTTGGGCAATCCTACTTCCGTAGTGATACTGCCTCGGAAACCCAAGGAGGGGTCGCTATGAGTCAGGGCTGACTCGA